TTTAGTTTATTTAAGACAAAAATTGAAACAATCATATTAATTTTATGAAAACATATAGGTACCTAAAAGAAAGTATTTGTAGGTAAAATACGAATATATTATAAATTAAAATGGGTACCTACAACCCGAAAACGTTGGTTACCCACATCAAAACAAGAGCACTAATAACGAAATAATATGAAATTGACTAAAAATTAAAATGTATTATCTTAATGCTAGGTACTTGTAAGTAGGTAATGTATGTAGTATTTGAAAGAGCAGAAATTCTTTAATTACAGAAATCTATTAAGTTTTTTATCACAAAAATTAAACTAGTAAAAAAAATTTATTGTTATATTTTTATAGCAACTCCCAGGGCCCCCTTAAGGGGGGGCTGATGGACCTTGAATACAGGGGCCTAGCTATTTTAAAGGCACGTGAGCATATTGAAATTTTTGAAATTTTAGTAGAAATACTTATTTTACATTAAATAATATTGTAAAATAACATATATTTAGTTATTTTGATAGTTCAAAATGTGGATTAACCAATGATTACTTAGAAAAGAATGGATTGGTTTTGACAATCAATTTTGACGATATCATTACTCAGTTCGCAGAGCTCAAAGCTCGCAAAATAAAATTTTAAAATTTTAACTTAAAAAAAATATAATAAAAATAAATTAAAATATAATTGTTTTTTTTTAATTTAAATTGGTATAATGAAAAAACAAATATTATTCCTAAAATTGTTATATATATATAAATAGTAAATTGTATTTTTGGAAGTTTTGTAAAGGGCCCGGACAAACATTAAGAATAAGAGCCTAAAATTGTAAGTGGGAACCCAGGCAACTCCTGTCATTTTATATATTAGACAATTAATTTATTTTGTTGTTCTGTAATAGTACATCTCATATGATAAAATAATATGTAAATAATTTCCGTCAATAAATTATATTTATTATACAAGTGATAAAGGTGATAAAACAATTTATCAATGTTAATACAAATATCAAATATGAAACAATCCTATGCATAAAAAAAAATGAAAGTATAAACAACCATAACATAACTATAATAAAAAATATATTTTATGATAAAAAAAAAGGTATAAGCCTGGAGGGTTAACAATTATGAAATACTTTGTTTCTATAGAAACCATTGTATATATTTTATACCACAAAAAAAGATTACAATATTACAAATTAATTCAATAAAAATGTCAGACAATAATAAAGCACCAGTGGATTTTTTCATAAAAGTAATATACTTTGAATGTTTATAATGAGCTTGTATACTTTAAAATAATAAATTACAGATGCATGAAGCATTGGCAGCCAAAAACTACCAGACTGCATTGAATTACTGTAATACAAGTAAACATTTAAAAAATAATTATCAAACTATAATTGGCAATTATTTTAATTAATAATTAAATTATAGTTTTGAGCTATGAACATGGAAATGTGACAATGAAAACATTTCATGAACTTTTGTCGAAAAAATTGGAAATTAGTGAGTAACTTATTTTTTTTAAATATTTGTCAATAACTACAAAAAAATATAAGGATAATAAATATGATTACAGTGGATGAGGAAACTGATAGTAATAGTACATTGGACAGTAGTTCATCGGAAAGTGATAATGAATCAAACAAGTGAAAAAATAAAAAATTGGGTAAGTATTTAAATCTAGATATATTACACACACAATTAATTTATTTACAACTCAATGTATACATATCTGTAAATACATTTTAATTTTAACTATTAAAATCTTAAAACTATTTTATGAAACAACAAATTACTAATAAATTTAGGTTTTTAATTAAAATACATTACATAATACAAATATTAATTTTGGCAAATAAGGAATTTAATTGTCTAAATTTGCATGTCTGAATAAATAATTAATAATGTTAGTAAATCATTAAAAATGAAACATCAATATTGGAAAAAAAAAAAAATAATAATAAAAATTATTTATTTAAAATTAATAGTTATTTTCTCTTTTACAAATGTGTATATAGGAATTAGTTGCTATCAAAGATTTATTTTGGCAACATTCCATCTAAAACGTAACCATCAAAATATTTGCACCCTGTACCATGAAGAAAAGAGAATGGGAATTATTGTGTTTTACAATATATTAATACATATACATTCACAAATATAAATATATGTGTATTACATATATTAATTTAATAATAATAAAATAAAGTCTGCATTATTTGAAAAATAAAAATAAAATATTTCTTAACAAAGTTTACAAAATAAATGTAAAAACTTTAAATTGTATTTACTCTTTTACTATGTACAATATTTATGTGGTAAATAAAAAAATTATGTGCAGATTTAATTTTTTAATGTAAACAACTATTGTATGAAGCAGCAGTCTTGGCATTTGCTTGTAGTTGTACTAACTTGAAAACATTTTGTAAGGAACGGAAAAAAAATATATAATAATAATATTATTATTATATTATATATAATAATAAAATATAAATAAAAAAGGAGATTGATTAATAATAAAGGAACTATTTTATAAAATTATAGTACTTAGAAATAAATTATTAAATAATATCAAAGCCTAATGAAAACAAAGTAATGACAAAATTATGACTAAACAATCAAAAATTGTATATTCTACAATAGCTTTTTGTATAGGTAACAATAAAAAAAAAAAAAGGAAAATCTAAAATAAAGGAAATTAAACAATTAGATAGATTTTAGATATCAATATTCAACATAGAATCAATTTACTGTATTTAGTTAATTTAATAAAAATGTATATTTTTAATCATTAATTTACTTTTAGGTTGATAGACCACAAAAATGTATTGATCATATTATGATGTGTGTTATTTTTGTCTGATAAAATAATATTAGTTTGAAAAAGTCTTGAAAATACAAAGCTCCTCATATATACATTACTCATTATGAAAAAAAAATTGAGCTTATATAAAAATAAAAATTTACAAGCGTATAAATATTTAATCAAAAATAATAAAAAAATCAATAAAATCTACATCATAAGGTCGAAAATTCATAAAATTGTTCATAAGATTTTCTCTGTAAACTAAAAATAAAAAATATAAATACAAGAGGACTACAATACAAGATGAAATATTGATGAAATTGGGTACATTAAACATTTTCATTAAAAGGTCAAATCTAACTTTTAACTGTATGGTAATATATAATTAGTTTTTTTAATTAGGGAATTTCATAATGACATGTTTTATTGGTAAGTATTTATTGCTTTAAATTGTACAATATTGTAGAGCTTATGCAAAATAAGACAATTGTTTGAATTTAATTGTTTGAAAATATTATCATAATTAAAGTGCGGATTTGTACATAATTTACTTTTAATACATATCTTTGTTAAATATTATTCTACTTTGATAATAATTAGTGGTCTATTGTTATTTTACATAATATATTTTTTGGTCTACATTAAACTCTACGCAACACTTGTTCATATAGTTTATTGCTAAACATAAATATTTAATCATCATATGGCTTAATATTTATTAATATTATTTGTTATGTGGCAATAATGTTTTACTCATTTTGATACATTAATTTAAGGTGTTAGTTTTTTAGATCTAATCATTTAAGATATATCCGCATTATTTTTGTACTGATGATTATTTTTAGTTTTTAGTTTAGTCGCTAAATATCTGTGTTTATTAAAAAAAAGCCAAAGTTGCTTTAAAAAAAAGAAACTTTGAAATTACTGTTATAAAACTACATGAACTGCTTAGCATTTTCAGGTTACATAATATATATGAACTGCATTTAATAAAGAAAATAAACAACAGTTTGTGTACTAAAATATCTATTAATTTAAGCAGTAAACCTTTGTGAAAACTTGATCATTTTAATTTTCTCCACTTTCTTGAAAAATTAATATTTTTTTAACATATATTTTTTTAATTACATATTTAAATAAAAATAAATACATATATGTATGCAAATATTTTTAAAATTTAAATACATTTAAATCCACACTCTAAATATAATAAAAGAAAAAAATAATTGGTGACTAATTTTATAATAAAAATCAAACTAATTATATCACTGCCCAATTATATTTAATTTACTTATTATTTTATTTTGAAAAATAATTTCAATTTTATATAGAAAAAAAAAAAAAAAATTAATAAATTAAGGAAATATAATTATGAATAATAATAAATATTTTTATCACGTTGCACTTAAGTCACTTTGCTTATTAGTTTTTAATTTATTTGGACAAAATATTAGATTTAACTCCATGTTGAATAAATAACATTAACAACTTGTGACATAACTGATTGTAACAGTATATTATAATTTTATAATTCTAAACATTATACATTAATAATAATACCAAAATTAAATTTGTCGCAGAATTGGGATTTGATCCTTGTATTAATGTTAAATAGAAAAATAACACAAAAAGTAAAATGATAAATTTATAGTTATTTTAAAAATGATTTTAGGCTGTAAAAATTGTATTGCCTATAAGAATTATTTATAATTTTAGTTTTATTACAAAAATTCAATTTTTTCAATAAAACTAAATAATATATACTATAATTAAGTTATTTTTGACTAACATTAATATAATGTACAGTATTTAATAAATACAATATTAAGATTATTGGCACATTTTTATTTTATTTTAAGATAGGGGTGGATATAACTTGAGGTAGAGAAATATAATAAATATTAGTTACAACAGTTATTTTAATATACCTATATTATACATATTATTTAAATAATTTATAATTAAATATTTAAATGCATGCCATAATTTATGGTATGAATTATAAATCTCTTAATGTTGACCAACTATTGATAGCCCAAATTAAATAAAACTTTAATCTTGGTAATAAGAATTACATTAAAAACAAATATAAAGAAAGAACCGATTTTAAATTGAATATTGAAGAACTAATTACTAATTAACATACATTATATATATATTTGAGGATAGGCATAAAAAATTATATTCCAATAAAATTTATTTCTTCCAATACATAAAAATATATTTCATATTCTTAGTAGTTGTATCTCTTTATTATTATTAAAAACGATTAATGTTATTTGTAACATCAAGACAAATGTATATAAATAGTATAACAACTTCTTAAGAAGTTCACTTACGCAAAAGGAAACAGCAATTTTCTAACCTGCAGAAGCTAGGTTACTGATGAGTTGGATTGAATTATAATACAGTTAAAATATTTTAAGGTACTGATGACACTAATGTTGATATAGCTGTTGACGACATTGCCAAGTAATGCGTTCCATTACACAAGATGCTGATAATCTAGCTTCTGCATCATGATCCCAACACTCTTCCATAGTATCACATAAAGCAATTAAACCCTAGAAATGTATTTTAATAAATTTCATAATATATATATATATATATATAATACAATAAAAAATTATAACTGTTTCTTACTGGATGTGATTTCCAACTGTCTTTAAAAGCCGGTCTTAGTTTTTTATGAACTACACATTCTTGCATGTCTTCTAAAGATGGATGTTGCCCAACTTCCTCTTCGAAAGGCAACCTATAATCAGGTATAGCTCCTTGTTGTGCTGTACATCTAGCTGCTAATTCCCATAGTACTAAGCCACATGCATACATATCTATTCTTAAAAATGCATCTCTTGAAAAATTAATTGCTCCTTCTAATACTTCGGGTGCCATATATCTTCTTGTGCCAACCTGATGGGTAAAAAATGAATTAATTAACTCTATATTAATATTGCTGTACAAATATAATATTTACCTGTCCATGTGTATCACCACATGACTTGCCAGGTTGAAATACCAAAGCAAGGCCAAAATCAGCAATACAAGCAGTTAAATCATGTTTTAGTAGAACATTATTACTTTTAAAATCTCTATGAGCAATGGCAGGTTTATATTGATCTGATCGTTCTGATGGAATTTCTTCATGCAAATGCATTAAACCTCTGAAATTAAATTATTATTAGACAAACCGAATTAATAATAATAAAATAATTGTACCTGGCCATGGATTGGGCAATATGACAAAGTTGATCCCATGTTAATATATTTGATTTTAAGTAGTCACATAATGATCCATAATCATGGTAAGCAGTAATTAACCAGTACTCATTTTTGGCACCTTCAATAACACTAGCATGTTTTTCAGCACCAATGAATGATAGTATATTTTGATGTTGCATGTGAGGTAGTTGATAAATATCTTGTTCTACCAACCACGAGTTTTTATCCTAAATTAATATGAAAAATTATAATATATATTTATATTGAAAATTAAAGAAATAAAAATTGTTGTAGTACCTGAGGAGGGAATATTTTAACAGCAACTGTATCCTTCTTGTGAAGGGCTTTCCAAACAGCACCATAACGACCTCGAGCCTTTACTTCTACTAGTTGTATAGGACGATTGCTAAGTATAGGAGAGCAATTTCCTAAGTGAGAGCTATCAGATGATGGAACCTTAAAAAATAGCAAATAATTTATTGCAATTCAAAACTTAGCACTATTAAATAAAAACTATAAGTATTAAATAAATGCAATCTAACTCACCCACTAAAGATTTAAATTCCATTAAAAGTAAGGATTAAAAATAAAAATAAATCAATCAATCAATAACTTTTTTTTTACAGAATATGATATAGTATGAGTAAAAACTAGAATAGATATTTAAATAATAATTTAATAATGACAAAATAATTAACATAAGATAAATTAAATTACTAAACATAAAAACCTATTTAAAGACTAATTAATAAAATTTTAAAAAATATTTTGTAAATTGAAGTATTCATAAATTATTTTATCTTTAATTCTGCTTTTTTAATATAGAACACTTGAGAAACAAAAATTTAAATTAAATAATTTAGAACAATTATCACGATGAATAAGATTGTGTATTTACGATAAAATTAAATAAATTATTAAAACAATACTTTTAATAGATTAATAAATAATAAAATTGTATTGACTTACATGAGAAAAATGAGGAATTTTTCTTCGTTTATATACCCAATAAACAAATAAAAACATACTGGCCACAGCTACTAATGGTATAGTAGAAAATACAATAGTGTGTATTAATTCATTATTATCATACATTGGTTTTGCAGCTTTAAAAAAAATATGTTTAAATTAAAATATCACAACGATAAAATATTTATATTATTTACATGTTTCTGTTCGAGGAGTTGTTGGAATAGGGTCCCAAAAAAATTCAGAATTACAATAGTCTCCATCACAGCAACAAAAAAAGAAACCATTAGGTTTGATTTCATCTTTTTTATCTTTGCATTGTTTTTGACCATGACATTCGATGTTATTTAAAAAACATCCCTGATAATACATTATATATAATACATAATACATCATTATCTAAAATAAAATTATATTACCTGAAGCTTTATTGATAACTGATTGGTAGTGTTTGTCCAAACAGTATAACAATATGATGGTTTATCATTATCAGCAGAGATACAATCTTGGGTAACATTTCCACAACCATATGTACCTCGAGAACTTTCACATAAAGTTTGGTTGTAGTACATACATTTTGTGATATTAGGCTGAACATGACGACTTGCACAATTGCCTATAGTTACAAGAACAAGAATACCACATATCCACATCCATAATTTTTGTTCCATTTTATCCAAAACTGTCTGGAGTAATAGGTTCTGTTTTCTTTTATTTATAAATTTTAATTATCATACTCTGAAAACATTAATATCATATTAAAATTATTAAAAACTAATTCTTACTAATAATTTAATTTATATAGCCTATATATTCATGAATCATATTTTCAACCAAAAATATAAATTTTCTATACATACAAATCAAAAGGTAATGTTTAATATACAAATGCTTACATAGTAGCACATGAACAATATTAAATTAGTCTCCATTAGATAAGACACAAGTCCTACTATAAAAGGATGTCCTGAATATAATATAACTAGATGAACCTTAGTTTGATCATAATTAAGTACCTTAATGTCAGTTTAAGTAGTAATGTTTTTATGTTTATTGAACTCAAAATTATTTATACCAAATAAATCGTTAAATACTCTAAGGTAAATGTTTAATATATAGAAAAAATTTGTTAAGACGCTCTGGAAGGAGCGTTATTATATAATAGCGCAGTTATATTGTAAAACTGCGTATCATGCAGGATGGCGTAATAGGTAATATCTTGCCTAATACACTCCTGAAACAGTTTTCTTACAGGATGAATTAGGAAAATAGTACATAGTGTTACATGTTATTTACTACAGTATAACAAAAATTCATATCACTTACAAGTATAAACTAATAAGAAAAAACAAAAATTATGTATACAGATTTACAAAACATCTTTCAAAGATATCTTTGAATTATTTTATGTTTGTTATTTCGTTTTTAATTTTGTTGGCTATACCAGAATATACATTAATGAATGGGGTATTAAGTATGTATGTATAAATATTTTGTAAAACAAAGGTAAGATAAACCAGACAACAACATTTTAATCGACATATTAATTGAAATTTTTTCCATGTTAAAAATTTTGAGTGGCCAAAAAAGAGAGCATATTATATGGGATTACGTATTAAGTCTTAATGAGATTTTACAGTAATTTCTTTAATTAAAATATCTTTCTTGTAATTGACTTAACCATTGATAAAATGGAAAAAAAAAGTATAAGACATGAAGAGGTAGTTGTATTATTAACAGTTATAGACAGTTAATTATGTCATAATAAATAAATTAATGAATTTAAAGGTGTACTTAATGAACATTTGATTTAGTACAAGTACATAATTTTATAAGCATGATGAATTGGACTATATATCTTAATTGATAAAGTACCTAGGTCAGCTATATATCATAATAACAACATTGAAATTATCATATGTACATTATGGATAAAGTTTAAAACAACCAAACCAGATATGAAAATATTAAAAAGATAAATTAATGTTGTAGACAACTCTAGAAACTATACAGAATTATATAGCTAAAATATGTAAAGTAGGTAAATACATTTTTTGTACAATTGAAGTAGTTTGATAATATATTGTTGCGTACTAGTCTAAGTGTAACGGGAGATGTGTATAGACAATTGTATAGCTTCTCAATCAATTAAATTATCGATAGCGATGAATAAAAGAACTCATGACTTTAAAATATTCACTTTATTATAATAATTTCTAAGTTCTAAGTACAAATTAAATACTCATGAAATAATTCTAAGTCCAAATTAAATATTTATTATGTTAGGCGGCACGAAGGTGCTTTCATTTATCGAACTAAAACACATCTGAAAATGGGTCTATTCGGGACTCCCTTTTATACCCTGATCTCAAGTGAACTCCATTTTGTTTCTTATCTTATGACTATTCAACACAGGATGTGGTCAGTGATATGTTATTTTCTAATATGGAGTTAACTGTCATTCCGGGATGTGACTTTTATATGATCATCATTGTGTGCTCGTCCTTGGGTTGTTTATTACATTTTAATACATTTATCTTAAGGATATTATTTTTTACATTTTCTACAGCTACTCGTTATTATGTGCTCCTTTACGGATCAATAATTTAATATAATATATTTCAATTTCAATATATTATATTGATGTGACTATATTTCTTATACGTAACTATTCTTATTAAATATAAAATCACCCATATGCATCCATAAATGCATTTCTTGTGAATTTATTGGTTTATGTTTAAGATTAGCCCCGATTGTTATATTCCTATGTGCGTGTATTTTCTTTAAATTATAAATGCAAGCCCGTAACAATATTAACAATATTTTAATGTTAACTTTGTTGTCCAAATACAACTTAAATAACACTATGATCTAATTGAATTTATGTTGAGGCACAATACTTATATGCATAACACTAGCTTAAATACTTAATACCCGAAAATAAAATAGGTACCTGTTTGGTTCACGGACATTCAAGACATACTCATGATTATTAAATATCACTTACGACAGAATTGTTTTGATGTTGTTGCAAACCATCTTTCGCAAATGTTTTGCATCATTTGCTGGAGGAGATACTAAAACACTCGTATGACGAAAAAATTATTTGCAGAAATTGTTAGCAAAAATGCAATAATAATAATTAATAATAATAATAACATTAATAACAAAAATTTTTAGTGATTTTTTCACAACAAAAACAATATGGACGACCCCTGTAAAAAAAAGGATTATAACTCACAGAAACAGTGTAGCCAAATGTATGATACAAACGATTCACCTAATGATTATGTTTTTCAACTATTACTATTCATTGTATATTATTGTAAAAATGAAATATTTCAAGAATTGTTTACTTTGAAAACACTAAATATAATTAAAAATAGTTTTCATTTTGAAAATATTTTAGATATATTAGCGTTATAATTTGAATAGCTTAAAAAATAAATGGGGTTTTTTATGCGACCAATTAATCTCCCATACTGAATCGAAAGTGATAACCATGATTTTTTAAATTATTATTTTATTATTATTATTATTACCCTTATCTAGGATTGATAATGTTCTATTGTTTTTATTGATATTTGATAAATTATAGTCTTATGCACGTGACAATTTGAGATTTATTTGTGTTTATATTAATTTTAATAAAATGGGCAAGTCTAAAAAAAAGAATTTGAGATGTGGAGCGGACAAGCCATATTCTAATTTGGCTGATCAGATTGTTGGTGATAGGATAGTTTCAAAAAAGAATAAAGAACCCAAGATTCGTTTGCGTCAGGATGAGAGCGAAGAGGTATTATTTCAAAATATTCTTGGTTCCTATCGAATTATAATTAAAATGTGGGTTATATTATGGTATAGGTTATTGGTTCTCAATTATCCAGGCGGATATTGGATCAAATTAGAGAACAAAAACAAGAAATAACAGAAAGTGGTAAGTTATAAATAAATAGTAATTAACTTTAAAAACTTATTCAAAATTGTATTGGTTCATTTAAATTTTTTTAATCTATGATTTATAGAGGGCCCATCAAAAAATATATTGACATTATTGGATTCTGGATCTGACTCAGAGGAAGATGAAGAAGATAAACCGATCTTTGGTGAAGGAGATGATGGAGATTACTATGAGCAATTGGTAATTATAAAAATAATCAAATAATTTATATTAATTTGATATTGACTATTATTTTAAAGAATATAAATGCAGATGACGAAAAAGCATTAGAAATGTTTATGTCTAAAAAACCAGAAGCTCGCTTAACTTTGGCTGATATGATTTTAGAAAAAATAACTGAAAAACAAACTGAAATACAAACCCAATTTACAGATGCTGAAAGTAAGTTTAATTGAAATATTTATTATGTATACTGATGCATCACAATTTAAAGGTATATTTATGATAATTTAATTCACAATAAAAAAGTTATGAGTATGTTAAAACACAATATCATTGTTTAATTATAATTTATTATATTCTTACCTTTCATATAAGATTATAAATTAATTGATTATTAAGTTGTATGACTTCAAAGTTTTACAATATTTTAATAAATCAGTGAGCTGAATGAATAGTATTCAATATCATTGTGCAACCAAGATTGATTAAGGAAGAAGTAATGAATATCAAGGGATTGGTCCTTAGTGCTGAGAAAAATATATTAATTTTGTAAAAATGTTATATGTTTTATTTTATAAACATTTAAATTGATTATTAACCGCAATAATCATCTACCATTTAGTTGGGTTCACGGACATTTCGTCCCTGTTAAAAAAATGAGTCCATGGACGTTTCGTCTCCGCCTATTATTAAGATAGGACATTTGGCCTCCAGGAATTATATAGATTTATTTATACACAATTATTTATATAAGATTACTTATTCTTTTCAAAAAATATAAAATATCATTATCATTACTAAATTTAAATTTAATGCAATGTTGTTTTACTTTATCTTTGTAATGATTTTTTTTTTGGCAAATTTATAATTTAATTTTTTTCGTGGTTTATAAATCCATAGTTCACTGACGTACGCAAAATTACACTGAAGAACTAGTACTGCGTAGTGTACTCTGTGTAATATACTATTATAGTATTCAGAGCAGATATAAAATATTATTTAATTTTTACAACACAAATAGAAAAAGATAATAACATTTTTCCACTGACAATTAAATAATAGTCGAGCAATATGATCTGTCGATAAGAAGACCTTCATTTAAGATAAATATATATCGATATGTCATAAAGGTAAAAAGGTGTTTGTAAAATTGTTCACTTGTTAGTTTAGTTACCTATATTATTTTTTTTTAGTTAATTAATTTAGAACGTAATAACCTAATCTAACCAGGGGCCAAACGTCCTATGGGTAGGTATAAATAAATTTATATAAATCCCGGGGGTCAAATGTCCTATCTTAAAGATAGACAGGGGCAAAATGTCTGCAAATCATTTAGTTGATGTGTGTATTCTTATTATTCTGTATTTGTTATTTTCAATTAAAAAAAAAAAAAATATATATTGTTAATTTTATTTGTTGTTATTGAACAGATGTTTTATTTAAAATTTTGAAATATTTTATTATTATCTTATGTTATATATAATTTATAGGTATTCACCTACAAGATATAGATCCAAGAGTAGTGCAAATGTATAAAGGTGTTAAGCAAGTGTTAACTACTTATAGAAGTGGCAAGTTGCCTAAGGCATTTAAACTAATTCCTAAGTTACGTAATTGGGAACAAATTTTATACATTACTGGTAAGTAATATTTTTTGACCCTCAAGTTTGCTTTTTATTATACTATTTGCTCTTTCTTAGAGCCTACTTCATGGAGTGCTGCAGCTATGTATCAGGGTATTCGCATATTTGCATCTAATTTAAAAGAAAATATGGCTCAGCGATTTTACAATCTTGTTTTATTGCCTAGAGTTAGAGATGATATTGATGAATATAAAAAATTAAATTTCCATCTTTATCAAGCATTAAAAAAAGCCTTATTCAAACCTGGAGCTTTTATGAAAGGAATACTTATACCTTTGTGTGAAGTATGTGAAACATGAGGTTGATTTATAAAGCCTTAAACACTTAAATAATAGTATAATTTTTTCAGAGCGGTACTTGTACTTTAAGAGAAGCGATCATTATTGGATCAGTTATTGGAAAAAATTCGATTCCAATGTTACATTCAGCAGCAGCTATATTAAAATTAGCTGAAATGGATTATAATGGAGCTACATCAATATTCCTCAGAATACTTTTTGATAAAAAATATGCTCTTCCATATAGGGTTGTAGATGCAGTGGTTTTTCATTTTCTGAGGTAAAATAATGTTTAAAATACCATTTAATATTATTATTAATTATAACATAATTGTTTTATATTTTAGGTTTGAGCATGATCATAGAGAATTGCCTGTGTTATGGCATCAGTCATTTTTAACATTTGCCCAGCGGTATAAAACAGATATAAGTTCTGAACAAAAAAAAGCTTTGTTAAAATTACTCAGAATCAAATCTCATCCAGTTATTACACCAGATATACGTCGTGAATTAGAAAGTTCTACATGTAGAGACATTGAAATGTCTGAGCCTATGTTATAATTTATATTGAAAAAAATTATCATTTTGAGTTCTGTTAAGCAGATTGTTATTTTTTTTTTTTAATTGTTATTTGCCCAAACAGTTGTAGCCATTTTTCCACTCCACAATTTTTCTTTTTAGTTCATAATGTGATCTTCTATCAGTATTTTTTTCTATTTGACTAATGTAGTACGATGATGATCACCATTAAACTACACTGAAATTTGTATAGTTATAACTATGACAATATTCATCCTTAAAACAGCAACTCTGAAAGTGTGTTCCACAGAACCTAAGGGTTCCGAAGTATGTACAAGTGAATATGTAGCATAGTAGTTATAATTGATAATTATCACAAACTATCATTAAAACATTTTTTGAAGTATTGGTTTTTCTATAAGTAATTAAAAAGTCAGAGTTAAATTGAGTTGGAAACATTGGGCTTCCTACAAAAAGAACTATTTTGTAAGGGTTCCATGGTTTTTAAAAGTGTGGGAACCACTGCCTTTAAAGCTTGTGTTTCAAAAATTAAATTTTTGTTATATGTTTATAAACAATAGTTAATATTATCATATTCTTACACTTGATATGTAAAAAAATTAACCTAAAATAGTTTTAAATTAAATTTAAGTGAGAGTCAATGTAAACTTTAAATTCTATCACAGATAATGAACATTGGATAATTGTTTATTTGAATAAATTGTTTTAAATAACACATTTTATATTAAAATTTTGAATTCATATTATTTTGTGTCAATGCGCTATCACCATTATTGAAGATAAATTTAAGTTTTGAGACACTCAGATACAATATAATTTGTTTATAAAAACATAAGTTAATAAACCAAGTTAATAATGAAATAATTATGAAAATTAGATGTACACAGAATTATAATTGACCAAATTTTAAATAATAATTAGCTTAGGATAATGGATTATTATAACCTAATATGCATTCATCTGCTCTATGTTGTAAATACTAATACAGAACAGCATGAAACAGTAAGTCCCTAGAATTCAGTATCTGATTAAAATTAATTTTAAGTTTATAACTACCAAAATATATACAGAAGTTTTATTTGGTTTGCTTTATTATGGAAAAACAAGCAATATAAAATCTACTAAATTGATTTTTACTTGTTATACTTAGTTATCTATAATTTATTTTATTGACAAATGAATAGGATGACTCTTATCATAAAATATATAAATATTCATGAATGATTAATCAGTGTGTTATGATTAGAATTCGATAATGATTTCTTTATAATAAAAAAAAATAATGAAGTAAGTTAGGTTAATTTACCTTTTTAATAAATATGGTTCTTTTCAATATCAACCCTCAGTAGAAATATAAATTGATCTATTCGGTCTTTTTCACTCAGAATTGTATTCTCAAGATCAATGGTAAATTAGTTTCAAGTTTCGCATTTATCTATCTCACACGGCCTAGGAGTTTCGCTCTATTTTTTTTTGTAATATAATATATGGCGTAAAATATTTTTTAAATAAGTCTCTTTAGATAGGTACTTAATAATTTTTTGGTTTCATCTAAATAAAATTTCCCTTGAGTTTTTGGCGATTCCTTCATATTTTTTTTAGTACTTTGAAGTTTAAAGTTTAAATTTCTATTCTAAGTTTGTTTTTTTCAATTTAATTTATATATTTTTATTATATTAGAAAAAATTTTTTGTTCTCACCAAAATCTGATTACCTTCTAATCTCTGAGAACCTTTTTTAATTTTTTAAGTTGAAAAAAACAACAATCATAAGCTTAACTATTTAAATATACTTGAGACGTCTCGAATCAGCGAATGCTGTCCGTCGGACCGGTGAAGAGAGCCTAGCCAGTAATCGAGGTACAGGCAATGGTTAAAGTGGGGGGGGACGGATTCCCCCTTCTTATTTATAGTAAGATTATGCGTCTTCTTTAATTTAAGTCACCAAAAGTTCGGGTGGACGATTAATGGCATTGGTCTCCAGGTTCGGATTGGCCCGGCGAGTTACCGAGCAAAACTCGGTAGGCCGCGACAATTTTTGGCCTTTTAAGTTGTGAAAGGCCGCTAACAGAAAATATTAATAGTTTAAAGTTGAAGATTAGTGCACCTATTGAAATATGTGATTAAAGAAATTTGGACAAGGGCCGCTAGTTAGTAAGTGGGCCGGTAACATACAGAAAACTCGGTGGGCCGAATTTGTCCAATCCGGCCTTGTTGGTCTCTAAAATAGGGATCCCAGATTTATTTTTTAAAAATACAGGACATTTTAAATCATACCAATTTTTGAAAGTCTCATTAGTGTTAATTGGAGGAGGGGGATGGGGACTTACAATTTCCTCGCAGTTATTAAATATACTATAAAATAAAGTTGAACACAAAATCTGATACTTCAAACAAATATAAATTATAATTAAAATTATAAACAAATAATTAGGTGACTTTACTATTTTTTTTAGATTTTTTTTATAATCAAATATTATTAGTTATCATTTGATTTAGATATTATAGTGTATCAATTATATAAAATTTAAAAAGCTTACCGATATTAAAAATTTAATTTTTAAAATAAGGTATATACGAAATAGACTATACAAAATACGGGACAAAAGTGTTATTTTTGTACTTGTGTTGGGACACCAGAACACTTTATTCAAATACGGGATGTATGGGATCCCTACACTAAAATACAATATTGAATATACAATATTTATTATAATATTACAATATTACATGAAATTTATTTTCTTGATTAATTGTATAAATTTTAAAATTTTTAAATAAATACGTTATTTAAACATCGGACTTCAGATTAGAAAAAAATAGATTTTTTTTCAATACATCGCAATAAAAACATCGATTTAGGGTTTCGATATATCGAACGAAAATATCGATGTTTTTAAAAAATCGTTGTATTTTGCCCGTCTCTAGGATAAACACTTTTTTATAGACAGTACACACCTTATTAGCTATGTACGTATTTGTTACTGTCTACGATGACCAACTACTAGCAAGGTTAGTAATTATTTCTTTTTAGTTTTGTTAAGTTTAAGAAAATTTTTAAAAATTAGCTACCATGTATTTCAATTTATTTTTACTGAGCAGGCATATGTATAGAATTATTTTTCTTTGGGGGAAATTTGTTTTTACACCCTATGAATATAAAGTTTTTATGAACATGTATGTGTAACAGAAGAGGCTTAGACCTCATGGGTTTCCTAAAAAAGATTGGTAAGATTTAGAATTAGGTAAGTGAACGCTCCTCAATTTTTGATCAATATAAGTCCTTCCACAATATTTTTCCCACTTTAACCACTGGGTACAGGCCAACCCTACTAAATTTTTTTTATAAAAGAAGTACCTAGGTAATTAACTTCTGAAAATTTTGAAATCATATGCTGCAGCTGGTTATTTTTTACCCTTATTTGGGAGTAAGCATCCTTATAATCAGTATATTGCAAATTCCTAGAATTTTTCTGTTAATCATTTAATTTTCTATTATTTTCATACATTTACATGCAATGCCGACCATTCAAGGCCTGTTAGCGAATCAAAATATTGATGCCCCTAATCATCAAACGTTTTTGAGGCCCGGGGCCCGTGTGCATTGCATTCTCTGCATGTCCGGTTTTTACAGATCTTTTTTTACATGTCATAATTTCTATTTACCAGGCACGTACATAAAAAAATATTTTGGGAGGGGTTTTAGGTTGTATATTTTCATAATTATATAAAATTAATATATAGATTTATATTACTTTTACTTTATATAAATATATTTAATCATTTTCCTGAATGTCAAAATGGGTTTAAGCCCCTAAATTCACTCACCCTTGTGTATGCGAATGCTATTTATTCAGCTCTTTTTAATCTTGTGCATATTAATGGGTAGTTTTCTTTTCACTTATGCTTACTCCCAACTAGAGGTCAAGGGCGTATTTTTTTTGTGAGGGGGGGGGGCGGACGAAGGGGCGCTCGCCTCCCCTGAATCCGTATTTAAAGAATCGATTATATGTGAGATACACATTTCAAATTTTTTTAATGTGGATCATTTTATAACGAAATCAAATTATGCGTAGATATGAATATTGAATTGGGCTTTTTGTCGGGTCCATACTTAATGAAAAATCAAATATAAAACAAGAGTAACTTTCAAAACATAGATTACACAAAAGTCGATTCTAAGTGGATCCGGCATTAGATTAAAAAAAAACCACAAATATTAAGGATTCACCAGATTTAAATATTACCAATAATTTTACTTGTAAATTTTGAGCCCAAATTAATGAAAATATTTTCTTTCGCTCCCCTCCCCTAGAATTAAGTCTAAAAACACCTTGCTAGGAATTCAGTTATACATTTACCTACTTGATTAAATCGTTTTGGTAAAATAGGCACGTCTTTTATCAATTATCGTCATTCACTAAATTCTATTTTTTCTGATTTATGATCATATTAATTGATCCTATTTATCGACTATTTGCCATAATTCGAACATTGATCGTCACGAATGATAAATAACAATATAGTAGAGACTTATATGTGTCTTCATATATAGATAATTATAATAAGCCACTATACACATGTACAGTATACACTATACACTATATACAGATCTATACTAATAAGAGTCGACATATATTAGAATATATTTTTTACTGTACACAAATATGAGATAAAATAAAAAATATACATTTTGACATTTCGCCAAGAATAAAATTATTTTTTTTCAGAAATTATTATAGGAAATAAAAGGGAGAAAAGAAAAGTAGATTTCGTTGAAACTTTACTCGATACTAATGCTGAGAAACTCCGTGTTGACCATAGTTTGACCGAAAACGAAGACGAAAAAAAAGAAGTGCTGCTGGTTTTTTTGAGTTTTTAATAGTTTTGGAAATTTACTGGTACGATGGAGTCAATATTATAATTAATTCGGGAATTATCAATTTTAGATAATGAGGTCATATAAATATCGGTGATAAACTCGATATGCAGATTACTGATATTTATCTAATTATAAGTTAGACCAAGATGCAAAATATAATTAAGTCAATTTGGTGAATCTCAAATTTGTCACGTTATAAACTTGTCAATAAAAGTAATGCAATTATTTTAAATATTATAGTCATTATGTACATCATCATATGTATGTAAATAAATAAATTTATTCATATATATATTCTTTATTAAATTATATTAATATTGAAAAAATATTGAAGTTTTTTACGAGCACATTATTGTTCATAATCGTTTTTTCTTTCTTTCGAAAATGCAATTTATTTTATAAGATTGCGAATAACGTGATTACTACATAATACGTATAAATATATAAAGAAAACAACTTTAGAATTATTAATATGCTTATCTTGAATTGAAATATTTGAAAGTCTTCGTTTGAACCTTTGAATTTATTCACGAGGGAAATTAAAGTTATGAAATGCAAAAAAGATTGTCTGTTATTTTTCCCGGATACTATAGTTAAAATATCGATAAATAAATTCAATCTATCTTGATGTGTTATCATTATGTATGAAATATAAATATTTTAAGATACCTTTTTTGAAAATCAAGAATACTGTATATATAGGTATAAATATATTGTATTAAATTATCTATTTGATTTTATTTTATCAGTGTATAAAGTGTGTAGTGTTCGATTATGTTCACATTATTATCGTCATGTAAATATTGACAAATTATGGAAAATTATCAAAAATTATGTGTTTTACACAGTAGTACTAGGATTTATATACAATACAAAATTGTAAAATATGCATTTAAATTTATATAAGGTAAACACAAAAATATAGTTACAAAAAAATATTTATTTATTGAAATACATCATTGGTTGGCTGTCTGTCTTAATATATTATAATTGAGAAATAAAATAAAATGAAATTTATGTTTGACAAAATAACCAAGTTTTATACTTTAATCTACAGGGATAGAATTTAATACAAAATATTAATCATGAAATATACTATAAAACATTCATTTTTCGCATTCTTATAATCGAAATATGCAAAAATATGCAAAGTAAAAATATCACTATTTATCTCATCATGAGGTGATTTGTGGACATTATTGACAAAATCAATAATCAGAAGTCGCAAAAAAAAAATGCTCTTGCATACAAATCCTAGCCCTGATTATCAGATAAAATAAATATGTATACCTGAACGTTTTTTGATAATGTTTTAATTTTTTATTCAACTTGATAAATACATTAACTTGTATGATTATTTAAAATGTGAAAATACGATGTAATATTTATTAATATAAGAGAAGTTTAAGAAATTAAGTTTACAACCGACAGGTCACAGATGTAGAAAACTAAAATAGATATCATATATCTATAAAATATCACCTCATATTAGCAGTATATAAATGTTTATATATAAATTTAAAATAAATGTAATATATCTAGGGCATGGACTACCTAGATATCTATGTCACTGAACACATGGTCTGTGTAAACTGTAGATAAATACAATATTATAAGTTATTATCTTGCATTACAATAATACAATGGTTAGTTAGTTGGTATAGACATACCAACATATATATATTACATATATTCTTGTTATAGTGATAGGATAACGAGTAACAACAAACAGTTAAATTTACTATTTTATGATAATACAGTTAAGCAAAGTTGTTTGAAGGTAAAATGGAAATAATTAAATTTAAGTAGGTACTAACGCAATATTACAAATGTAGCAATAAAGTTGTAGCAGTTGTGAATTTAAAATTAAAATGGGATAAGATTATAATCACGTAATTTCATAAACGCAGAATTAAAATAATTATACGTAAAAAACGTAATTTTATTTAAATAAAACAAACAATGTTTTTTCATACATTAAAAAATAAATTATTTTCTATTAAAAATGTGCTTGACTATTTTATATTTTTTTTATGATACATTAACAAGTTAAATTAAAATCGATTATTCTTAGAAGTATTAAACTCACTAACCAAGATGTAATTTTAAGTTGGTAATTTTATTATTCCATTGTTATTATACTCGTATTATTTTTTTCATATACAGTGGTGCTTATGAATTTATTATTGTTGTTTACCTACATACTATTATGATACAACGTTTTTTGATCTTTTATTAAAATCAGTACCATTAATTATTATATTACAATTTTTCACCTATGTACAAGGTTCTTAAAATTATGTTGTTTAAATTAAATCATATAATAACGATTTTTGTTTGTTTTTATAGTATTACATTTTTGTACATCATTACTTGATATATAATATATGATACCATTATAACTTGTAAGTTAGCATTTTTTTAGTAGATATTTATTTACATTGAAAATTAAAGTATCTTATGGGCTGTAACTAAATTGAGCATAAAACCCACTTTTTTGACACGATTGAGAAAATGTGTCAGCATATTAAAGAATATAGAAATACTAAAGAAACCTACATGATTGAATATAAAAATTTTGCGATATTGCCTATTTCAATTTTGAATGTAATTGTGTTGTCCAGAAGTTTCAATCGCATTACGTTTATCTAACCCTGAGAAAATTATTGTTAAATATTTATTATTGGTACACCTCCATCTCAAAAGATACTCTTTTTTCGTTCTCTAAATTATTGGTAAAAATTTACTAGGGCCAAGAATTATTCTTTGCCTCTTTCTGACAAAATTATTGTTACATCCATATTAAAAAAAAAAAAAAAATAGAAAGTACAAGACCTATACAAATATACCACTCTACACAACGCACTATATGTAACATGACTATAGGTGATCAAACACTACATAAACTGAATTATTTCTATAATAATTTTGGAACCGTAACCATTGTAACTATCTTATATTTTCCCCCAATACTAAATGTTTAAGATGTCAGTATATTACGGATAAAACTAATATTTATACATATTAAATTAATCGATAGCGTTGCCGATAGAGTTGGGCTTGAACCTCGATTCGCGACTTGTTTAAGTTTAGTATCTTAAATAATTTTAGTAACACTTTACACTTGTAATAATATAAGAAGAATATAAGTTACAAAATTTCGGAAACGTGAATGTGACTATGTCGCATAAAATATTCTATGATCAATCGTGTTGCTGAAAAGGTATATGCTGAATCGTTCTTTACCGATCTTATGGTGTTGTAAATGTTGTTTGAATTAGATAAATGGTAAACATTCCGTATCTATGTACAAGATGTTCATTTTCAATTATTTGAAAAAAATTTTAAGAAGCTTGTATGTGGTTTTAATCTTTTTTTTCCTCAGTAAATACCTACTTCTTTAGTTGTAGAAATAATCCGAAAGTTGTACTTTATAACTAACTTAAAATATACATATATTGGAACTCATTATTTTATATGAATATAACTTTATTTATTAAATGTAGGAATAAATTAATAAATAATTGAAAATTTTTGTTGATTTACGACTGTGTATTTAAACAGCAAAAAATAATATTCATGAAAAACATGATACTATAATTGTTTGCAACTATATTTAATACTAAAGGCCTACCTATACCATTTGTTCAATCTAAAATACTCATTTTGAACTTTAATATAATTTATTATATTAAAATAATGTATTGTAGTAAGAATATATTAAAATTATTATATGGTTTCCTTATAGATTTATTCTTATAGTAGCTATATTAACTTTTATAGTAAACGATATATTTTTCTATTTATGTTATATACACACTTACATACATATTACATACTCGACATAAATATTATATATATACTTATTTCATATATACTATCATTATTCACTGTTTTTTAAATTTGGATTCATCACATGTAGCACTACGTATTTTTATATTTTGAAGCCAAAGGAAAATCAGTTTTACTGTTCTTGCAGTTTTCTTTTATCATCTCATTTCTTTAGAAAAATTTGAAAATCCGTGGTTTTCTATTATGATTTTTTATTATTAGCTTTTCAATTTCTATATAAATAAACCAGTCTTTTTAGCCCATTAATATTTTTTTCCTTTATATTCATTCTAAAATGATGCACTTATTATACTTGATTTGACGAGTTTATTTTTTAATTTTGTCAAATCATAATTACAATCAATATTTTATAGGTAGATATTTTTATATTATTATGAAGTATTTATATTTGTTTCGGGATAAATAATAAATTATAAATCGGGCTTGCATACTATTAAAAGACACATTTTATAAAAATCTGCAATTAATTAATATATGGAATAAATAAAATTTTTCTGTATATTTTATAAATAAAATTAAATTAAAATGTGTTTACAAACGTATCTTTACATTAATTTTGCTAATCTACAGTCAAGTATTTAATGTTTCTATATTAACTTCAAAACTATAGTTAGGTACATTTGATGAATGATCACGGTATTTTCAGCGGCTAATTTGCTGTCACATTTAAAGACAAATGGTTATCAAAAGAAAATCAATAGAAAAACGCATAGTTTATTGTAAATTTATAAAAATAAATGATAAATTGTATGGAAAATAATACCAGGGAGTATTATTAAATTAAGGTAAAAGTGTTATGTTGATGTAATATATTCAAATTTTAAGGAAAATTTATGATTATTTAATCGATTATTAATAATTAATAATCGATTATTTGTAAATAATAATAGATACTATATTCTAAAACTTCAAATAATGATAATAACCGAATAGATTTAAATTTTTCTTTGTAAACATATTTATGTAGGGTTTAGTATAAGATATTTTCTTTAAACATGGTATTTAATTTTAGAAAAAGATTAATTGGCAACTATAGTCTCAACTAGAAGTGTGAATTGTTTTCATTTTTAAATTGTGTATGATAAAATATTTTTTGTCGTTGGAATTCACGTAAGTACGTAAGTCTCAGCCTTCAGAATGGGGCGGTATTGGCAGTGGGACGAATAATGTAGCACAGAGAGTGCGTTTAGGTGATGAACCGACGGCAAGCCCTTCAGTATCATTTTCCTCTCAGTCTTGCTTGCGTGTAGGTGAGCGTTGACCGCTCTAACTCTTTCGTAACTATCTTTTATCGTGGTTTTTTTTCAATTCGGTGTGTTGGGCTAGGTTAAAACCTTTTAACAGCACAATGCATTATTTTGCAATGACTTGATGTATTTAAGGTTTCTTAAAATATTTATACAACAAAGGATACAACAATTTTTCGGTTTCAAAAATCACCCGCCAAATCCACCACGTGAAAATATGGACGATCTTGTAAGTATCTATTACAATAACAGATTTTTCCTTATAATTATTAACTATTTTCGGTATAAATAATTATTTTATACAGATCATTTTTTTATTTTCGAAATTTTACACTTAAATGTATTATTCCATTTCGGACTTGTGAAAAAAATTAATGACAATAGAAATGTGTATATGTAGTAGGTTCAACAAAATTATCATAATACATGATATCATTTACAATATATTTAAAGTAATAGACGTAAGAAGAAATATATGAGAAATATAAAAAAAATTATTTTTATCTTTTAGTAAAGTTGAAATATATTCTTTTTTCCTTACTTTAATAAGACATTTAATTCCAGAATATTTTTTGTAAAATTTATATTTGAGAAAGAAAAATATTATTGTTCTTTTTTTATTCATAATCCTTTATATAATATAAATTCCTTTATAAAATATATCTCTTTTATATAATGCACACAACTGATGAAAATTACCTATTATTTTAATATTAAAGCATTGAAATTTTTTTTTTAAAGATTTAGTAATCAAATTAAACTTTGAAAATTAAATTTGGATGTTACCCAAACAAAAAATTAATGATTAATTACTATGTTTGAGAAAATAATTAATTATATATATATATATATAAATATAAGTGATAATGTTCGATATTCATGTTCATTTAGACTTTAGATAATTAAATACTTATATATAAAATTATATCTAAATCAATAGAAAGATTAACTAATAATAGCTCAATAATCAATTAATTAAATGATATGACACTTGTCTTATAATATAATCAAATAATATTCTGCAATTTATGTATCATGAATTATAAGTGTGTGATGCATTCTCTTTCCGTTTATCAAGCCATTTTAGGTATCGATAAAATTCAAAACACATTGATTATAATTATATTGCATACTATAATTTAAATATTCGAAACAAAGTTTTATGTAAGCAAGGTCGTATCTGGGGGAGTATCTGGACCCTACCGAAATGTCTTCAATATTTTACGAATGTTTAAATAATTATTTATTTTTAATACTAACATAAACATTTTCAGTCAAAAATGACTTAAGCTCCAATTAATCATTGACTGCTTTTAATTTTATATCATAATATAATTTGAAAATATGATATTAATTTTAATAAAAGAAGATTAAATCTTTTTCTGTCTTATTTTTAACCAAATATCAAAAATTAAAATCTAAATTCAATAAAATTACAATATACATGTATTGGACCCCTCCCAAAAAAAATTTCTAGATATAGCATGTATGTAGGTATAGATGAATTTTCGAGGATGAATGGAGGCTGAGCCTCAGTAAAAATTACGATAAAAAATATAAAAATGTTTTTATTTATCTTTTTATAGGAGTATGCAGTTCGTGGGAATTATTGTGTATATTTCAATTCATACCCCCCACAATTTGTTCTATATTTATCCGTGCATATACAATTATTTTAATTTATAGTTAATATTTTAGATATTATATGAAATTATTGATGGTTGTATATTTATTAAAAAGATATATAGATAATCTTATAAATGTTTGAAAGTCGGTGTATAGTAAAATCGTTCTTGGCTGCAACAACAGCATAATTTTAGTATGTACGTATAGTTACCAACAAAATGTCAATATTATTTGTATAGTAAACTAAAGGTGAATAAATTCTAACGAAACTTTATAAATGACCATATTACTGAATTAGTGAAACTATTTATTCAGAAAATTATGAATCAAAGAGTATTTGTTTTCAGTGTGGCTTGCGAATATTCACTACTATGTTTACTTGAATGAATAAGTATGTGCACACTTATAGATTTTTACAAACGAAAATGCATGAATTATTAATTAGCGAATATACCTTAAAAAAATATTCATTCATTCAGTCAAATATTCATGATGATATATTTTATCACTACGAGGTTTAATTAATTATTGTTTAAAAATTTTAGTTTTAATTTAAATTACAAAATTATGTAGAATACAAAATAAAATAAATTTAAATATCAGTGTAACATTACATTATTCAATGTGTAACAATTTAATATAATATATATGAAATATGATCAACTTTAAAAACCATACTAGGAATTATTATTTACATTTATACTATTTTTTATACTTTACGGTTGTATTATTAACCATATGCTCATACATATATTTAATAATGTCGGATTCTCGAAATGTTAAAAACTCTAAGAACTTCATATTAAATTAATTAAGAATTTTTTTTGACTAACATGATTTATCATCGCTTTCAAGTCTTACATTGCTTAACTTAATAATAGTGATGGGCGTAATCGAGATATACAATCGAGATATTTCGATTATTAAAATAATAATTCGATTATATACCCAAGAGATTATTTGGAGTGATATCTCGTTTATTTTAAAAACAATCAATTTTTGATCTTGAAATGTGTATCGAATGAAAAAATATATCGAATGATTTTCATGGAACGAAGGAGTGAGGGAGGAATATTATTTTTAATCTTCATAATCGAATAAGTAAATACATATTATTCACTTAAAGTTTTTGTATTTACGACTCGTGCTACTTGTAGGACTAGTTGTTAGACAAATATTGATGCGTATACGGTTATTCATTATTTATATTTTAAAGTTTGACATAAATATATAGCTATAATTTTTGAATTACTCAACCACAAAACAACAAATATTTCTCAGAACGTTTATAAATACAATTATATTATATTTATATTTATATATTATATTTCAATGGAACATTTCGAGACATCTCGTGGTTATAAAAATGTCTCGATTACTAATATTTCGATTATTGAAATCATTCGATTATGCCCATCACTACTTAATAATACTATGCTAGGTTGAACGGGAAGATGTGAGCAAAAAAGTGTTTAAAACTACGATTATCTATCAATATATTTTTAAAATTAATTTTAGACTAGAACCATTATTGTAAAGATATACGTTAAAAATAGTTATGACTTTATAAGTAAAATATAATTATTTATTAATTTAAGGTAAAATACTTATTTTTAATTAAGTTCCGTTTAGAATAGCTTCTCGAATCGAGTAATTTTCAAAGTGAATTTGATAAAAAACTCGTCCTTGTTGGTTGTTCAAAACAATAAAATACACTTGTTACCAATTCAGAAAGAGTTTTTAAAATATTAAATTACCACAGCGCTTATTATATACGTTTGAAGAATATAAGAATAATACTCGTTTATGAAATAATGTAAAATTTTAATATTTCTTCAATTTATTGTAATATTATTCATGGCAAAAAAAAATAAAAAAAGTGGGTAAAAGGTATTATATGTATATGTTATGTGATTGAGTTATGTTAGTTGACAATTTAATAATATATATAATTTCAAAAATAGGTGGACATTAAATTATAATATAACTTATGCTATAATAATAATTACTTAGCAAATTAAAATATAAAATATTTTCAAAGATTTTGCTAAAACACCTTGAACCAATAGCCGTAAGATGCATTGGAGAATACCAGTGTGGCTTTCGTAAGGGTAAGTCGACAATCGATCAGCTAACAATAGTGGGGCAGTTAATAGAAAAAAAATACGAATTTAGACAAAACATATAGCAAGTGTTTTTCGATTTCAAAAAAGCGTACGATAACATACACTGTGATAGTCTTTACAATATTATGCTAGAGTTTGGTTTCTCGAAAAAACTCATCGCTTTAACAAAAATGTGCATGAATGACACGAAATACCAAAAAGAGAGTGAACCAAACGCTGTCCGATGAGTTTGAAGTCATAACTGGCTTGAAACAAGGGGACACGCTCTCACCACTATTATTTAATATAGCATTAGAAAAAATAATACGTAATGTAAAAAATAACAACTTGGGAACCAATATTGGCGCCACACAAATTAATATACTAGGATTTGCTGAAAATTTAAACCTAATTGGAGATAGTATGGAAATAGTTGAACAGAATATAAACACACTCATAGAAGGTGCTAAATTAGTCGGATTAAAAATAAATCAAGACAAAACGAAAGTAATGGAATTACTTCCCAATGGGGAAGAAAACGTGGTTATCAATGACTATACCTTTGAGAAAGTTAAAGAGTTTAAGTACCTTGGAATAACAATTACCAACAAAAATGATTGGAGTACCGAAATCATAAGCCGTATACTCAAGGCAGAGAGGGCTTATTTCGCATTACATACATTTTTTAAATCAAAATTATTTTCCAGAAGAACTAAGATCAGATTGTACATGACTACAATAAAACCAATGGTTACTTATGGATGTGAAATATGGCCCACTACTATACAATTAGAAAAAAAGCTACTAGTTTTTGAATATAAAATACTGAGGAAGATTTGTGGTCCAATTTTTGATAATGAGCTAAACAAATGGCGTAGAAGAAAAAATACTGAATTAAGAGAAATCACTGAAGTTCCACTATTAACAAGCCACATTAAGTGTCAAAGACTCAAATGGTTTGGTCATAACATGCGGAAAACAGAAACCAATAATACGAGAGCAGCAATTGAATGGTAACCGACAGAAAAAAGACCAAGAGGAAGGCCTAGAAAGCGATGGATGGATGGAATAAGGAAGGACTTAGAAACACTGGAAGTAACAAAATGGGAAGTAGAGTACAGGATCGTGACTACTGGAGAACGGTGACGGTGCGGCCAAAACTCTTAAAGAGTTGTTAAGCCAAGAAAGAAGAAGAACTTAGCAAATTAAATATATGAGTACAAACATACAAATATACTATTAAACTGCATAATTTGTAAAGAGGATTTACTTGGATTTAATTTCAAATTTTAAATTTTAATTTAATTCCAATTGGACATTATATTTTTACAATGTAATTATTAATTTTAAAGCCAATAATTATATTATATAATGAACAATGTATGAATATGAAAATAATTATAATTTGAAACTAGTTAGTATCAAAGATGACATTTTTTTCCTGTGAATGTCAATATAATGAACAATACTAAATAAATTTACTGTGGACTTGAAAATA